CCTGAGAGAGTGTCTTCTCCCCATGTGACTCTCCTTAGGCACACTCTACGTCATCGATCACTTTCCTCTTTGGCCTCATAATCTTCTTGATCAGAAAATTTGGGACACTACCGAGGTACATGACATTACATCTGTAACATTTCTAATAGTGTTTTTTACTATGTTTTGTTCTCTTGGAAAGAGAGAGACAGAAAGAGACAGACAGACAGACAGACAGACAGACAGACAGACAGACAGAGACAGAGAGCATAGAGAGACAGAGAAAGGCTTCACTTTTCAGCTTAAGAAATTCCATACTGAGGAGGGGAGATCACTCAGCCATCTAAACACCTTCCTAGCAAGTGCAAGGACCCAGATTCAATCCCCAGTTGCAGTGCTGGCCCCAGAAGCCCTGGCATACCATGCCAACCACCAAACCTGAGTGTGGTGGCGCCAAGACTTTACTTCCAGTGCAGGGGAGGCTGAAACAGGAGGATCACTACCTGTCAGAACTGCATAGCTAGACCCTATACCAAATAAATAAATAAATAAATAAATTTTTAAAAGAAAGAATTTTTGTATATCTGGTTCTTTATGAATTCTAGATAGAACTCCTTTGTCTGAGTGATTATGGGTTAAATTTTTTCCCATTTTATGAGCTGTCTTTTCACTCTATTGGTGATTTCTTTTGACATGCAGAAACTTCATAAGATGAGATCCCAGTTGTTGATTCTTTGAAGTATTTCCCATGCAGTTTGGTTTGTATTCATGAACTCTTTGCCTACACCTATTTCTTCAATATTTCCACTTAATTTCTCTTCTAGTAGATTTAGTGTTTCTGCTTAATGTTTAGATCTTTAATCCATTTTGACTTTATTTTAGTGCATGGCAATAAACCTGGGTCTAGTTTTAGTTTTCAGCATGTGGGGAACCATTTTTCCAGCACCATTTGTTATAGAGGTTATTTTTCTTCAAATGAACATGTTGGTTCATTTGTCAAAGATAAGGTGGCTGAGTGTGTTTCTATTTCTAGCTGCATCTTCTAATCTGTTCCACTAATCCTCAGTCTGCTTTTGTTTTGTTGGGGTTTTTTTTGTGCTTGTTTTGTTTTGTTTTGCTTTTTGCCAGTACCCTGCTGATTTGTAACGCCGTAGTTACAAATAGTTTGTAGTTTGTAGTATAATTTCAAGTTAGAGATTGTAACGCCTCCTGCCTTGCCTTTTTTGCCCAGGATTGTCTTTGTTATTCTAGGTCTTTTTAGTTGTTCCACAGGACTGACCATTTGAGAAATAAAAATTAAAACAATATTGAGATGCCATCCCATCCCAGAAAGAACGTCTATCTTAAAGAAATCAACTAATAACAAATGCTGGAGAGGCCGTAAGGAGAAAGGAATCCTTCTGCACTGTTGGTAGAAATGCAGACTGGTACAACCACCATGGAAATCAGTGTGGAGACTCCTCAAAATACTAGGACTGGAAATCCTATTCAATCCAGCTATTCCTCTTCTGGATATTTCCCAAAGAACTGGAAACATCATACCATAGTGATATATGTGAACCAATGTTTATAGCAGCACAACTTGTCATAACCAAATCTTGCAAATAACTATAATGCCCATTACCTGAGAAATGGATAAAAAAGATGTGTTATTTTTATACAATGGAGTATTACTCAACTATAAATAAAGACAAAGTTGAGGCCTTTATAGGTAAGTGGATGCAACTAGAGGCTATACTCGTAAATGGAACCACATGTGTAAACATCATATTGTCTCCCTAGTGTAAGAACCTGAAAGAGTAAATAAAACCTGAAAGGTATAATAGATATAGTAAAACAGAAAGAAACTGGACCTAAGGATTAAACAATAAAGATGAGGCTAAAAGAGAAAAGAGGAAAAAAGGAAGGGGGAAAAGCATGCAAGTATATATGCAGGGTAGCTGAGATGATTGTACTAACAATTTCAATCAGTTTTTTGAAAAAAGCAGTTTATGGTTAGATTTTCACTCTAACCCTTTACACTAATATATATGATGTAAGCAACTACGTCGAGGACAGTAACGTGAAATACAAAAACCATGGTTGAATACCTCTCATCTTGGTCTTCTAAGTGTGTACCATTTCTAGCATCTTATCAATTATTATTATACTCTCTAAAATAAATATTTGAAAAAGTAAAAAGACAAGAAAAATTAAAGTTTATTAAAAGTAAGTACTAATATCAGTTATTTGTCCAATCTCACAAAGCTATATCTGTTAATCTGAGCAATAGATTTGATGATGAAAATAGAAAATATAACCATTCTTAATTTGTTATTCTTGTTTTGAAAATCTGTAACATATCTAGTTGTGTGTTACCTTTTTTCTATCTTTGTTTCTGCTATCTGTTTTTGCTTTCATTTTTACTCTTCAGAATAAAATAAAATGAATTTTTAAGAAAGATATAAAGCCATCAGCCCATGACATACACATATACTTCTCCACCAAAGACAAACAAGTTAAGTAAGCCAGCTCTGTCTTATTCTTTCTCTGCTTTAAGAATACACAGTGTGCTGGGGTGATAGCTCAGTGGCTTCAGTGCCTGCCTGGCAGGCACAAGGTCCTGAGTTCGAGTCCCCGAACCAAGAAAAGAAAAAAGGGGAAAAAAAAAGCAGTTTAGAAATATATAAGGAAACCGTTTGTAAGATACTTTGCTATAAAGTATCCTGACTATATTTCGGTGATTTCACATATAGTTTTAAAATACTTAAAATGTATTTTATGTTTTTCTTTTCCAACACCGTTCCAAAACAATAGACTACTAATTGAATGGTTATGCGTGTGACAATTTGACCACTAAACTGACTGGAACCACAAATGGCCCACTCAACAGACTGCAGAGATGGAGCCACGAGTGGGACCACCTGAGGGCATTCTACGGGAAGAAGAAAGCAACATAATACAGGGCCCAGCACTTTCAGGTGAGTTAGATGGGAACCAAATGGCAAAAACAAGACGATTCCACAGATATGGCTAATTGCACGAGGGTAAGAGACCGTTGTCCTCGGCCTAACCGCGGATCCAGACGTCAGCCGGCAACTCTTCCTCCTGCTGCTCCTGGTGTACGTGGCAACGCTGCTGGGAAACCTCCTCATCACGGTCACGGTGACCTGCGAGTCTCGGCTCCACACGCCCATGTACTTCTTGCTCCGGAACTTGTCTGTCGCCGACATCTGCTTCTCCTCCATCACCGCGCCCAAGGTGCTGGTAGACCTTCTCTCCGAGAGGAAGACCATCTCCTTCGACGGCTGCCTCGCCCAGATGTTCTTCTTCCACCTCATCGGAGGCGTGGACGTCTTTTCTCTCTCTGCCATGGCCCTGGACCGCTACGTGGCCATCTCCAGGCCCCTGCACTACGTGACCATCATGAATAGAGGCGCTTGCGCTGGGCTCATCGCGGCCTCCTGGCTGGGCGGCTTCCTCCACTCCATCGTGCAGGTGGCCCTCCTGCTGCCGCTGCCCTTCTGCGGGCCCAACGTCCTGGACACTTTCTACTGCGACGTCCAACAGGTCCTCAAGCTCGCCTGCACGGACACTTTTGTTCTCGAGTTGCTGATGATTTCCAACAATGGGCTGCTCACCACGCTGTGGTTTTTCCTGCTCCTGGTGTCCTATTTGGTCATATTGTCCTTAATAAGAGCTCAGGCGGGCGAGGGCAGGAGGAAAGCCATCTCCACCTGTACCGCCCACGTCACGGTGATCACCCTGCACTTCGTGCCCTGCATCTACGTCTACGCCCGGCCCTTCACCGCCCTGCCCGCAGACAAGCCCATCCACGTCACTTTCACGGTCATCTCCCCGCTGCTCAACCCCCTGATCTACACCCTGTGGAACCAGGAGATGAAGTCGGCCATGCAGAGACTCAGGAGAAGTCTTGGACCTTCTGAAGCAACAGGCCAGTAGCTCCCTCTGATGGCCACTGTTGGAAGTCTTTGCACAGCGAAAAAACTCTATTCAGCAGTGATTTCTACTTAATTTTCTGTTTTTACTAAGAAACAAATGAGTTTTAGAGATTCTGATCAGTATGCCAAAAAGGCCCCCAAAAAGCCTCTTATGTCCCCCAAAAGTTAAGCAAAATTCTTTTATATTATTTTTAAATAATATAAAATAATATAAAATAGAAAAAGTAGCATTAGAAATGATAGAAATGATACAAGATTTCACTAAAAAAATTAATAGGAATTCAACAATGGTTGCTGTATTGCATGATACTATCTTCAAATTAGTTATTTTGATTACCAGATATAAACATGTAAGATTCATTTAAAGAAAAAAGAGCAAGAACTAAGAAGTTATAAGAAGTTCAAAGATTTAAAAAATCAGAGTTAAAAAAAATTTACACATTAACTGCTCCTTTTAGAACACCAGCAGAAATCGTCAATATAGTTGTCCAAACTGTTCTGTGTATAAACCTAACTATAGCTTTTTTCCTTCTTTCATTTGTCCTTTTCCTCATCCCAGTTTTTCCTTCCCAATGAAAACCTTCTTTCTCTTGCGCAGTACCTGTTGCACCTTTGAGATTTGAATTACCCTTTCAGGTTCTCACATGGAGATAATGCAATGTTTGCACATGTGGGTCTAATTTATTGCACTTGCCAATACAGCCTCTAGCTGCTGCCATTTATCTACCAACGGATAAGCAAAAGTCTTAACAGGAGCGCTGTTCATTGCTTTCCAACATAGCCTTGGAAGAAATAAATGAAGCTAAACCAAAATACACCTAGCCACTCCCTCCAGCATTCTGCACACTTCCTGGAAGAAAGCAGAGATATGTAGTTAAACGAAGTAGCCTGGGTGTTGGGATTCTGGCATCTTTCATGAACTAATCACAACTTAGTAAAACTCTTTCCCCAATTCATTGAAGAAATAAATTACTCTTATTAGAAAAAAAATTTAATGAGTTCATATTATACCTTGTAGACAGCCCAGCTTATGGGACTTCAAGATACAGACCTCATCAGTCATAAATTCAGTGAACTACAGCAATTTTTGTTTTGGTACAAGATCTCACTATGCAGTTTGGACTTGTAGTGATCCTCCTGCCTCAGCCTCCCCAACATTGGGGCTACAGGGGCAGCGTGGCACACTAGGCTTCTGGGTCCAGCACAGGATGCAGAATGCAGGGATTGAACTTGGGACCTTGCACTTACAAGGCAGGCACTTATGCTACCAGGCTCTCTCCCTGGCCCAAGCAAATTTTTTACTTGATCTTCTCCAGAACAACAATGCACTGACCACTCCAGTAGAGAATTTCTCAGCACTCTGTAGTTCACCCTAGTGCAGTCCTTTGACCTCGTTGTAAACTTTCTGTTCTCTACCTCCTTCAATAGTGTAAACCTTATTGATTGTCGCAGCCCAGCACCTAGCACAACCGGAATATAATAAGCACTAGTAAACTTGTGTTCAAGTGACATATTCAGTTAGTAAATATTGTCTCTGACCTCGTGTGTGGCTTGTGGAGTCAGTGATTGCAGCTGCGGAGGGTTTGGCGAGATGCCTCACACTATTTTGCTGGTGCAGCCTACCAAGAGGCCAGAAGGCAGAACTTACACTATGAATCTGTTAATGAATGCATGGAAGGCGTTTGTAAGATGTATGGAGAACATCCGAAGAGAATGAACCCCACCAGCCCCTCTATCACACACGTCATCAGTCAGCTGCTTGATTTGATTGCCGATCTGGCAGACCTCAGTGGCCTTGTTTACTGAGCTGACGCCCAGACATACCTGCCTTGTAACAAAGACTGGATCAAAGAGAAGATCTACGTGCTCCTTCGCTGGCAGGCGCAACATGCTGGCAAACAAGTGAGTGGAAACAGCAGGGGCCGGGGGCGGGCTGGGTGCACAGGCTTGTGCAGTGCATGCTGTGGGGTGCTGTCCTGTGAGCCTCTTTCCATGTGTTACACTCTAGCCAGGACTGAATGCGTTAGATGAAACGTGAGGTGTGAGGATCTTCTCAATCCAAAACTCCTATTGAGCCCTTTTTCTTTTTCTTCTTTTTTTACTTAAATATTTTTATGATTCAGATGGAAGTTGCTCCTTGTCGGTTCCAGTCCTTCAGATTGTTCCTATCAGCTTTATAACATTCACTGTGCTAATATTTAAGATGGGGTAGGAGATGTTGACAAAGGTTAGTTATGTCCTCAAGAAAAAGTCTTAGTGAAAAAATGTTTAGTTATTAAAAAAATATTGTTTCTCATTCATCACTCCACACACAAAAAAATACAATGACAAAATCCAGTAAATACCTTATATTAATAACCCTCAATGTCTGGGGTCTTCCTTCCCCATCACAAGACCAGGCTTCCAGAGCAGATCAGAGAAAAACATAACCAAAAAAAAAAAAAGAAAAAGAAAAGAAAAACACAACCATAAACTGCCTATGCAAGATGTCGGAAAGGACACACCCTGGTGCCTCAGTTTACAAGCTTAAGCTGTTTTACAGTATGGGGATGACAGCTGCGTTTGTGCTTGTGTTTGTGGTTGTGTTTGCGCTTCAGGTTCTGTTTCTGTTCATGTTGGAAGGATGGCCACAGCCGTGTTTGCTACCCAGTGTGGAATTTGTGAACAGAAGGAAATTTTGAAACACTTTTGTTTCTGGACCAAATTGTTCAACAAAAGCATTCACAAACCAAGGCATAGTGTAGACTGAAAGTGACGGGATGGAATATGACGTACATGCTCCCAGAGCCCAACGGTGAGGCACGGAGGCTCTTTCCTGTTCTGACACGGCACAGTTCAAAGCAGAACTGGTCGTCAGGCACAAAGCTGGCCACCGCACATTGGTGATGGGGGCAACTAAAAATGAAGACATTGAAATTTTTTAACAGGAGGTGCATTTACTTTTATTTCTTATTTTTGCAACTTTAAATATATGTGCAGAAAGTGTTGATGCACAGAAATTCACCAAGCTAAAACTATTGGCTGTAGAAAGACATATAAATACTGTTATGGTTTCTGTCTAGGCGTCCACCCAAAGCCTCGTGCAGATGTAAGTGAAGCTTTCTACAGGTGGCTGGATTCAGGACGTGTGGTGCTGGGGTGAAGTGTGCGGTGCTGGAGTTAAAGGTGTGTGAGTACTCAATTAGTCCATTAATTGGTTTAACAAAGTGCTGGTGTGGAAAATGGGAAGGCCCCTGGGTGTGGGTGGCACCACCTAACTTGTGGAAAGCCTGGAAGGGATACAAGGAAGAGGCAGCTTGTGCAGTTGCTTCTTCACTACTTCACTTCTCCGCCTTCCGGCCTCCTGTCTGCCATGGACTGCTTCTCTTCTGCAATGCCTCTCTGTCATGCCACTGAGCCTGGAAGCCAGCCAGCTTTGAACTGAAACCTCCATGAACTCTGAACTGAAGAGAATCTCTCCTGCTTCAACTTTGGGTGTTGGGTATTTTCTCTCATCAACAAGAAAAGTAATGAAGGCAGACACAAAACAGTTGCAATAGAGTACTTCAATACTGCACTCCATAAACATATAGGTCAACTATAAAAATCAACTAAAAACATACCAAAGTCAAATCACACCATTGCATAAGTGGGAAAGTATAAGAAACTATTTGAAAATATATATTCCAATAATTTAGAGACAATACACGAAATGGGGAAATTCTTAAAAGCATATGAATTACCAAAATGAAATCAAGAAGACTACATCTTTATAAACAGAACAATCCAAGAGGAAGAGAAAGCTATCATAAATATATATGTGCCAAATACCAGTACACCCAACTCACAAAACAAATATTAAAGGACATGAAAGAGCCTGCAGTGCCGGCTCCACCCCAGGGCACACTGAGACAGCAATTGAGACTGGGCATGGTGGCGCACACCTGTAAGCCCAGCTCTTGGGCGGCTCTAAACAGGCAGATCACTATGAGTCTGATCTAGTAGGGAGACCCTGAACAACCAGTAGATCCTTCCCCAATCGCTGACTTGAAATTATACTACAAAGCTACTGTGATAAAACCAGCATGGTACCAGGGGAAAAAACAGACCTGAGGATCAAAGGAATAAGTTAGAAGATACAGAAACAATTGCAAACACACTGAGCCACTTTATCTTTTTCAAAGGGGCCAAATATGTTCAGTGGAAGAAAGATAAACTCTTTAACAAATAGTGCTGGAATAACTGGCTCTCCACATGCTGAAAACCAAAACTAGATCCAAATCTATCACCATGCATAAAAGCAAATCCAGAATGAATTGAAGATTTAATTGTTAAACAGAACACAAATCTATGGTAAGAAAATAGGTGAAAATATTGAAGATACAGGGGTAGGCAGACAATTCATGGACAAAAACCAAAATGCATGGGAAATACTTCAAAGAATCATCAACAGGGATTTCATCTTATGAAGAAGTTTCTGCACATCTAAAGAAATCACCAATGGAGTGAAAAGAAAACCCACACATTGGAAGAAAATCTTAACCAACAATTACTCAGACAAAGGACTTATATCTAAAATATATAAAGAACTAAAATATCAGACCCCCAAAATTCAAAGACCCAATCCAAAAATGGGTGTCTGAGAAGAATATACACTTCTCAGAGGAAGAAATACAAATGACAAATAGATACATGAAAAAATGTTCCACAGCACTGGCCATTCAGGAAGTTCAAACTAAAACAATATTGAGATACCATTCTTTATGAAAGAATGGCTATAATAAAGAAATCAACTACTAACAAATGCTGGACAGGCTGTGAGAGAAAAGGAACCCTTCCCACCGCTGGGGGAAATTCAGACTGGTACAAGCACTATGGAAATCAGTGGAGACACTCCTCAACAAGCTAGGATTGAAAGTCCCATTCAGTCCAGCTCTTCTCTTTCTGGGCATTTTCCCAAAAGAACTGAAAACATCATCCCACAGTGATACGTGCAGCTGTGTTTATAGCAGCACACTTTGT